GGAGGTTAGATGCAGGCAGGGCGGGGCGGGGGTGTGACTGTGAATAAGAGGGTGATGACTGTAATGACTCACACAGAAGGGCTATGAAAGTACTAGTTTTTCTTAATTTTGACTGTAAATTGAGTCTTTTCCATCAATTTACAGTACATTCTTTCTTAAATAAGGTCTTTCTCTTATTTATATTTAATTATTCTCTATCTTCTTAAATCCTCCTGATGGAAGCCTCGCAGGACACAGGGAGACCAATGGTCTATTAGGTACGGTCTCTCCTTTCCAAAGGAGCCCTGGCAGCCTAGTGGGTTACTTGTTGAGCTGCTGCCCACAAGGTCAGCGGCTGAAAACTACCGACTGCTCTGCAGGAGAAAGATATGGTTTTCTACTCCTATGAAGACTTATAGTCTTGGAAACCCACGGGGGGCAGTTCTACACAGTTCTACAGGGCCTCTGGGAACCAGAATTGAAGCAATGACAGTGAGTTTGGTAGGGCTTTTTCCTTCCCAAGATCATTGGGATTCTTAAAGTGTAATCCCAGAAACTGCGTGAATATATACAGCAAAGACTGTGCCATCTTTACCAGTATAAAGCCAGGTACTTGTTTGACAAGTATAATTTATAACTTAAATCAGAATTATTAACTTGAAGATTTTAATCTGTTAAAGAAGATTTTGCACAGGCTCAACACAAACCCCAATAGTGCATGCTTACAAATACCCATTTACCTAAAATGAAGACAACTGTTACGGTATTTCTCATTGTTCTTGGGAGTCTTTATATTTGCTTACTGTGTGTTGTTAGCTACTGCTGTGCTGGCCTGGCCCCGCACATGTACAGCAGAACAAGAGGATGCTCATCCTCCTGCTTGGCGATGCCCCTCTGTGATGCCTAAGGTTTTTGTTGTTTGATTTTTTTCAGAAGTACACTGCTAAACTTCATAGTTTATCTTAGTCACAAAATTCGGCTGAAACATGTTCTGCATCCCAGCAGCATTCAAGCCTCCGTGGGTCAATGTGCGGTGGCAACGAAGGAGGTGCATTGGGTGGACATCAAAACTGCGTCTCCATCCTTATATATGCATATAAGTGCCTCAGTAACTGCCCAGCATTTCAATCTACCAAACTCCTCCTTGCCCTTTGTTCTCTAGCTATAATAGATTTGCCTCAGTGCATTAAGCAAGTAATTTCCTTGTGTACCATCATAACTTAACAGTACTGGGAACTTTATTCCCAGTGCCATCTCTACTGTCTCACCTACATTAGTCTTGTCTTGACACCACCCCAAGCATAGTTGTTTAAATGCTCTCATATAGAGACATGCTTTAGGCCAGTGGTTCTCAACCTTCCTCATGCCACAACTCTTTAATACAGTTCCTCATGTTGTGTTGACCCCCCAGCCATAAAATTATTTCCGTTGTTACTTCATAACTCATTTTGCTACTGTAATGAACTGGGCGACCTCTGTGAAAGGGTCGTTCGACCACAAAAGATGTCGTGATCCATAGATTGAGAACCACTGCTTTAGGCCTACCCAATTTTTACTGATTGTTTTTATAACTCCATTAACTAGCACAGTTTCAGAGTAGCTTGACCAGTAAGACAAAAAAGACTCTTTATTTGTGCTCTGATAACCCATAATATCCTGCATGTCACGACAGTGCATTAGATTAATTGCTATGCCTTAACTCTTCTACACATAGTCTTTATAACTCCTACTAGATGACTACATGGAAAAATGCAAATAGGCTGTATTAAATTCTAATGGGATTTGTTGGCTTTGCCATTTTGCTAGGTATAAAATTAGCTATCTCAGACACAGGAGCACTTAATCTTATTACCATCGAAGAAGGAGATCAGGAGTGCAGTGTGTCCTTTGGACACTGAGATAGTTAGGTTATATGTCAATTTGGGTCGACCAGGATTCTCCCATGATATTATCTAATATAGTATGGTCAACTCCATGATGGGATCTTCTGTGAAACAGCCAAGCAGTTGTTAAGAGAATATACCTTAATCTGGTCACTGTCTTGATAAGACTGTTGTTATTTTGTCATGTCTTGCACCGTCCGATGTGGCCCTTCACTCGCTTCTCCGCTGTCCATCCCCCAGGTGGGAGAGCCTTATGGTCTGTTCCCCCTTTCTACCCAGCTTTCTCTCCACCTCCCGTAATGTCACATTTTAATTCCAAGATGAATTAACACTTTTTTATTTTTGTCACACACCATCTTTTATTAAGGAATGCTTTTCTAAAGCCCGGAGTGATTACGCAAATAGCCACTAGATGCCATGTTCTTTGACAAATGCACCTGGTCCTAGAGAGCAGGACGTAAAGCGATCACTAGAATACATTGTTTTAAATGCAACAGCAGAGAGGTGCGTAAGATGTTACCGGGGAGGAGAAGGAGAGGGTCCAGTTTCAGGTTTAAGCCTTCCTTGAGGGAGAAAGCTTGGAGAGCCTCCACTCTAAAAGTAGGTGAGGAAGGTGCAAAGGCTTGAAGGGGCCCAGCACGTGCAGGGTTACAACCTGCCAAGTGGACATACTGCAGTATTCTCTTATTTGCTTGTTTTATTTGGGGGAGAGACCTCCTTTTAAAAAATGTATTTAAAAAAATGTATTTTTTTAAGATGCCTAAAATCTAGGAGGTTTCAAAAGAATTCGATTATATTGAAATATCTGTAGTAATATATGATTTTTATTAACTCATTAATTAATAAGATAATGCATTTAATATATCCCCAAACCAAAACCCACTGTTATTGAGCTGAAACCAACTCAAAGCAACTGTGTATAGGGTTCCTGAAATTGTAAATCTTTACTAGGGCATACAGCCTCATCTTTTTCCAGAGCAGCTGCAGGTGGTTTTGAACTGCTGATCTAATGGTTAGCAGTCCAATGAGTAATCCACTGTCCACCAGCGCTCTTAAAAATATACTGTAATGGCTGCAAAGAACAAGGAAATACTAGTATCATGTAACAGCGCAAAGTGTAAGCCAGAATGTTCCGCAATTGAATTTTGTTTTTTAATAATTAAATAATTTTATTGGGGGTTTGTACAACTCTTATCACAATCAAAAAAAAAAAAAGACTGAGGGAAGTTTCATTCAAGGTGTGACCTACTCTTAGTTTATAGTGTGTGGAAGCTACCTGACTTCTATTACTGGATTTGGGTCCTGCCACTGGCTCATGGACCTCCTATTCCATTACCTGCCAATCCCAGGAACCTGCGTGGATTCCCAATTTTGGATTCATTCAGCCCATTTTAGAGTCATTTGGCTCAGCTTCTACCAGCATACAGTCTTCCCATTTCCTGTTCATTCATTTTTCAGTTTTAGAGAAGTGAGCCTAACACATACCCCCAAAGCCCAACACTGGATCTCTCTGATCCAGGACACAGAACTGTGATATTTCAGATAGGCAAGGTGTAACAAAGGAGCAGCAGCAGCCGAAGCAAGAACCCGAGTGAAAAGCAGTGGTGGACTTCACCATCCAAGGAGAATAATGCTGAGTGCCTTTGAGCGGAAAGCTATTTTCCAATTGGGACGACTTTCAGGCATTGATTGGCATTACTACAAAAACTTTGTATCACTGACCTGAGTAAGGCAGAGGTCAAAGGATCCAAGGACCAGAAAGAAGCTTGCCTGTGATCATGGCTGAGAAGAGATTCTATGGACTAAAGAACTGTATCCTTAGCATTTCTAACTCTGAAATGTAGCTTCTGAACTTCTCTAATAAACCCAAGAGTTGTGAGTATGGTTTGTGTGTTCTGTGTGGCTCTTGCAATAGATTTTTTTAACCCATCAGAACAGTAGGAGTGCCTCGGAGGGGTAGGGTGGGGGAGGTGCAATTGATGTCAACATTTGTAAAAGAGACAAAGAAGGTGGAGCCATGTCTGACCCCTGCCTCACAGGGATTGGTTAAGTTGTGATGCTTCCACTTCCTCATTGTGAGGTCAGAGGAGGTCAGATACGGTTTCTACACCATTTTTACCATCATTTTCCCAAATACCTACCTGCCCCCCTATTTTGAATAGGCTGCTAGTTTAATAAGAGCATAGTCATATTTGACTTCAAAACTATTATAGTACACAGCTTATAAAAAAACAGTTGTTCCTGATGAGACTGACATACCTAGTGCTGAAGAAAAAGAAAGAAGAAGAAGGAATAAATAATGAAGAAAGAGACATTTTTGTTTTCAAGAGAAAAATGCATCCGGAGTTTTCTGGTTTTGATATTAATTATAAGGTAAGGGATCAATTGTTAGACTAGTAAATCATAGAGTTGGAATATGTGGGTGTGGCTGTTACACAATCTCTCATCAATTTGAGACTTAAGAGTGAAGGGTGATGTTTAGCCTGTTAATCTGGTCGCAGTTTAAGGGCCTCATTTGGAGACACTAAGGCAATAAATAGCTCTGTGGAGGCGGGAACACACGCTCACTCCCTGAGGAACATTCCTGTGGACAAGACACAGGGAGCCATGCTAAAGCCCTGGAGCTGGAGGAGCCATGTGGAGACCCACACCGGCGCTGAGATGCCTGTACTACCACCACTGGATCCACAAGACTTTCCACCCACTGGCTTGTCATTTCTTGTATTCAGCATCATTGCATGTGTTTCGTGAGTCTGAAGAGGACTTTATAGATTGGTATTGCACATGTGGGTTAATATCCAATTTATAGACTTGATCTGGACTGGGCTTGGATGTTTTCTCAATATTCAATTGCTCTTTTACATAAATCTCTTTCTTATACACATATGTCTACCAATTTGTTTTTCTAATCAACCCAGACTAACACAGTGGGTTTGAAAGTTAGCACTGCTATAATAGCCATGGGCAAGTCACATCACTTTTGAAAGTGTCATTTTCTTCATTAGTCAAATGGCACAATCATAGCACTTGGTGCACTTCATAGTATGGATGGATGCAATGTGAAACCATAGCTCTTAATTCTATAAGTGACACCTAGCAAATGCTCAACAGAAACATCTCTTGTCGTTATTTATTTACCTGAGGATTAAAAAGGAAATAAGGACGCCCATTCTTCAACTGAAGTGCAAAATACTCCTCTTGATCACCAGGAGATGCAGCAAAGACAATCAAACCTTCAGGCACCCTTGTTCGGAAGCTGGTCTTAATGCCTGGTGAGACAGATGTCATCAGCAAATCAGTGCCAGGCTTTGTTGATTCTTCCTGATAAATGTACATTTACTTTCATTATTATTTATGATGCAGGGAGTACAGTCAGAGAATGACACACAGCAAAAGACCCTGTGATCCCAGCCACTGGGCTTTAAATATGAATATCAAATTGTACTTAGAATTGCAAGCCAGCACTTTTGTAAAATTTACACTTTGTCAAAACACATGAACAGAGGCCTCTTATCAACCGCAAATTGGGTACCAATAGGAAAATATTATCAGTCATAAAAAGAACTGTTGTTGACATAAGAGGAAAGAACACTTGGGGCCTTATTCAGTGATAGATGCTGCAAACTAGAAAGAACCATCAAAGAAGTGGCCCATGGAGAGGATTTCTTGGGATGTCAACCAATAAAAGTGTTTTATAGCCTTCAGAATTTCAGTCTCCACTGACCCTTCCAACTATCAGCCAACACTGCCCACAACACAAGGCTTTTGTCTCATCAAACTCTTCCCAATTGAGGAGGCAAGGGCAATTTACTAGAGACCTTTAAATGCCTTGAGCCCTTTTGGCAGAGTGGGTTATACACTGGGCTGCTAACTGCAAGGTCAAAAGTTCTAAGCCACCAAGGGCTCTGTGGCAGAAAGAAGAGGCTCTCTAATTCTGTAAAGATTTACTGTCTCAGAAACCCACAAAGGAAGTTCTACTCTGCCTTATAGGGTCACTGTGAGTTTTTTATTTGTTATATAAATGCCTCACCAACTCCATTCTACCTGAGAATACCACCTACTTACCATATACCGTGGAGTTACTTCTATGCATAAGGCATGCATTTAATGGATTGGATTGGGCAAAGTATAAAAGACACAGTTTTTGTTCTGTGTATGTCTGAATACACAAGTCATACTGTGAGGATCATATAACAGCTCAAGAACATACAAGATAAGCAAATAAAAGCTTCAACTACAATGCTAGATTATTAACAAAAATGTTTTGAGTAAATAATACAGTCAATAAGTGTTATGAAAATTTGAAGAAGAGAGGATTCTCTTGTGATGAGGCTGGTTACAAAGGTTTATATTATTGTTGTCAGCTGTCATCTAATCAGTTCTTAGGTCATGGTGACCATGTACAGAATGTCCCAGTGTGATAATAAAGGGTTCCTTGGCTGATTTTCAAAAGTAGTTCACCAGGTCTTTCTTCTTAGAAGTGCATTGGCCAGGAAGGAAACCCAGGTCTCCTGAATCGAAGGTGAGAATTCTGACACTGTACTATCATGGTTTCTCCCCAAGATTTTTCATAAGGTGTACTTAGGCTGAGATCAAGAGAGGCTACCACTTCAAGATTAAGAAGCATGTCTAATTCATCTCCCCATCTTCAGCATTTAACACAGTATCTATGTGAGTATAGCATATTTTTTTTAGTCCGGGTGAGGAGAAAGGCAATGATAAGTATATTACCGGCAAGGGATCAATTTTAATGAAGACTTGGAAATAAGAAAAAACGATATTTTGTGAGCATCAGATTATCATTTGTTCAATATGCACTTATAGAACATTTTCATTTTCTCCTCTCCCAACAGTTATTGGCACATATTTAGATATACAGTTCAATAGTTCAATCATTCAATCATATCAAGGGGCATTGTACAGTCACCACCACATCAACTTAGAGCATCCCTCACACCCAATGGTGAAATCACCTTTAAAATGAGTTGTGCAATCACAATGAGTTCTAGTGCTTGCCCCTCCCACCTCCATTATTTACTCCTGAAATCCCCTTTTCCTATCACCCAGGGCTCACTCCTGCATTCCCTATAATCCCTGCGTCAGATATTCTCACTATTCATTGACTCCCCCTGTGCTTCACAGTTAGGAAACCCAACAGAAAACAATAAAAAACAAAATTGCACTAACATGGTAAGGCTAATGTCATAATAGTATAAAGACAAAAATATAAATAATGTGTAAGAAGGAAAAGACCCCCATCAACATTAAAAAAGTTAGGGAGGAAATTTTTGTTTATGGAACCCGTAAGAGATATTTGCCCCCAGTACAAATTCAGGTGGTATAAAACACTAGCTTCTCTTGAGTATTTGGCTCAACAATTCAGAAGAAAGACCACAATAACATTAAGTTCTAAAGATAAAAATTTTTAGTTCAGTAGAAATTTTAAAAGAACAAAACAAACCGTCATTGGGTGCGATAAGTGGTAAAGAGATACATAAAAGACAAAGTTAGCCCCCTCACCCCGCCAAATTAAAGAGTGTTTCACAAAGTATGTCATGCATCCACATGTTTTTGAAGAATATAAGTATTTGGGAAATTATTCACAAAAATGTGGAGTTATGGGAAGTAGTCAGGAAATTCACATGGCATGCAGGGATATAAAAGTAGAGCCTAGACAAATAGGAACAACCACATTTCAGTCTATATACAAAGAAAAAATGGCTTGAGAAGTTTGTAGAAATCGAAGACCGAAAAATAGATGGTGTTAGAAGCATCTGTAATGTTTTTTGTTTCTGTTTGTTTTTGTTTTGTTTTTGTTTTTTAGAGCAGTTAAGGCTAGAGTCAGAACTGAGCCTCAAATTTCCCAAAGACAGCTCAAATTTACCCTGGCCATCACAGTTTCTGAATATTCATCTTCTATGTTATACATTTTGATCCACATTTAAACATTCTTTTTCTATTCATTTTGACATATCATTAGCTCATACTTTCTGAGGCTTTTACTCCTGTCCACATGAATATGTTTTTGCTGCTAAACCTAGTCCACCCTGGCTCTTCTCTTACTCTGTAGAATACAATTTTTAGCCTCAACAAGACACCCTTCAATATTCATATTCATACTAGTTTATTTTGCCCTAATAAGTAAACCAAAAAAGTTGAGCCACCAGTTCAGATTTACCATGTAAGCAGAAAAAAGAGAAACATTGACCTCTGAGTGGAGGAGGTGCTTAAACTCAACCTCCCTGCCATCCAGTGCATGCTGGTGCATAAGGACCCTGAAGGACCGGGTAAACGGGCACTGTGCGTTTCCAAGGCTGTAACTCTGGATGGGAGTGAAAAGCCTCAGCTTTCTCCCATGGAGTGGCTCGTGGTTTCAAAATGCCAACCTTGGGGAGAGCAGCCCATTGCGTATTTGGGGGAAATTAATGGATAGGATGTCGGGAGAAATAACAAAGAAAAATTAGTTGAAGAACCACTTAGAGACTACTGTGCTCTTATAGAATACAATGAGAAGAATATAAATTAAGAACTAGCAAGTAATGAAACTGAGGGGAAAAAATAAATTCTATTCATTTCAGAAAAGATTCATCAACACAGGTAGATAATGAGGTGAGGTAAGTCAAAAGAAAGAGAGTTCAAGATGGTCATTTTCCCCACCAATTACTGCAAGAAAGATGAAATTAATAACAAATACAAATGTCAGCTGAGGGATAAAATGTGGAGCTGGGGGATACAAGTTCAGTTTTAGGCACAATTGAGTCTCTATTAATAATGCAGAAAGGTCTGTCCATCATTTGGAAATGAGGAATTAATTCTCAGGAGAGAAGATGGTTAGAAAAACAAATTAGCTATTATAAATCCATAGAATACACGGAACACAGAAAAGAAATATCAAATAGCCTTTGGCAGAAATACTTATATTTGAGAATAGGAAAATGTAGAAGCAATAATAAAAATAATCATAATGGGAAAATATAGGATCAATAATAAAAATAATCATAATAGGAATATATAGGAGCAAACAAAGGTTACTATTATAAACCATAAACCTAGGTAGGTGAGAGCTTTAGAACAAAGAAGTTAACAGGGAAACACTTTCTATAGGTCCAAAATAATTAGATACTAATAGTTACAACTGAATAAAAGCTTATGGAACTGATAATTAAGACTCTTTAGGTATCAGCTCTTTTACAGTTGACTCAAATGGCTAGAATCCAAATTTTGGGGAGACAGGACTGAGGCAATATGTAACTAGGAACTAGGTCTATAATATTTATTTTTAAAATGGAACAGTGAAAGACATAGAAGATACAGAAGAAGAAGCAGTAGGATAGGCCAGGATGTGAAAGAAGAAGACACCTGCCAGTAAAAGCTGAGCCAAGAGACATGATCACCCTTATCTGTAATAATCTGACTAGAGCAGGGTTACATTTCTACCAATTCCTTTCTTCTGTTGGTTCAATGCAGCTCTCTTCATTCTGTCGTGTCTTTCTATCACGATTTCATGATCTACAATTAAAACTAGAACTTTAAAGTAAAAACGTCCTAGCTATTTAATAATGTGGTTATAATACTGGACACGGACACAGCAACATTTCTCTACTGATGTGTCATAACACTAGGACAGTATTAGTGTGAGTGACAGCAAAGATTAGAGTGAGGAAACAAATGAATTATTGTTTAATCTGGGAATATAATTCTTTGTCCTGTACTCAAGAAAATTTTGGTAAATGAAATTAAATCAGAGTAAGAATTATAGGTATATTTAGCAAAATTATTATTATTGGAAAAAGAACAGAATAATATTGTACAGCGTTGAATAAATATGCAAGTATTAGTGTTTTTCATTAACTCAACATTTAATTTGCATTGTTTTTAACACTTATCCAGAAAATAAATGCAGTTTCAGTCCAACTAAAATATAATACTTTACACATATCTACAGAAATTTCTCCTGAGATAAAAAGAATAAGTAGAGGAAAAATTTTATTTGATTTCTTATGATCAACTTTCAACTCACTCAAAATTTTTTTCTCTTTATACCACTGAGATGATTACCTCATGGACCCTATGCAGAAATTAAAATGCACATCATACGGACTCATCATGTTTGACGATCAGTTGCTTTTGACTAAAAGTCCACTGTGGTAAGTCAAGTCTGATTCAAAACCACCATAAAGGAAAGATAGAAAAGCTCCACAGGGTTCTGGGAACTAATCCTTTATACAGGTGACTGTCTCATTTTTCTCCTATGGCATGGCTGGTGGGC